GGCTACCGGAGACCCTGGCTCAAAAAATGTTATCTGCTGCCTTTTATCTTCAAGGATGGGTTTGTTGGTTCGTTTGTTTTTTTAAGCCCTGCTGCAGGTGTTTGTGTGCAGCTCGGAAGGGCGCACACTGAGTCATCAGGCTTGTACCGAGTGCATAGATTGGCCCCACAGAGGGGAAGAGGGGGAAAGGGTTTAGCAGCCACAGATTGAACTTTGTGTTCACGAGTCGGGAACCGGAAGACAGTTCTAAAGCTGTGAAATTTCCTGGAAAAAAAAAAAAGTGTCCTTTTTATGTTACTGATCTCGCTGATCAGTGTTCCTGTCCACTCACTAGATGGTTGTTAAAATGACTTAAAATTGAGCGAAGGAGATGTCTCCGTCTGGGAGAGGGCCCGGGCCCGGAGCACAAACATGATCTAAATATCTGTCCTCTGACTTAAAGGGGAGCCTGGTATGTCCGTTGACACTTGTAATCTCAGCGCTAGGGATTCCAGAGGATCTCCGGAAGCTTAATGGCTAGCTAGTCTCGCTGATCAGGGAGCTCCAGGACCATTAAAGAGATAGGTGGGGGGGTGAGCAATCAGAGAAGACACCCAAATCAAGCTCCACCCCCCACAGTCATGTGCATGCAAGTGTTGTGCACACACACACACACCCCATACCCTAATAATAAAATATTTAAAGAATAAGAGAAATTACAAGACTCTAAAATCCCTTAGCTTTCCCTGAATAGGTCTTGTTTTTCTTTTAAAGGGCATTCGTGATGGCATTGAAGTAACCCCAGCTTCCAGGCCAGGTGGTGAGAGTGCCGTTTCCAACTAAGCTGTAACTTAGCCATGCTCTGCACACTAGGATGGTGGTTAATGGAGTAAGGATTCTCAGCTCTCTCAGTTTGGGGCAAAGATTTAAAAGACAGGGGCTGGTGAGATGGCTTGGAGGGTAAAGGTGCTTGCTCCCAAGCCTGAAGCCTTGAGTTTGATTCCTGGGACCCACTTGGGAGAATGTGAGGACTGTTGTCCTCTGACCTCCAAAGGTGCTTTGTGGCACCACCATCCTACATATATGCATGCTTTAAAACATTTAAAAGTCAAAGCTGTAAGCCGGGTGTTGGTGGCACACGCCTTTAATCCCAGCACTTGGGAGGCAGAGGCAGGCGGATCTCTGTGAGTTCAAGGCCAGCCTTGTCTCCCGAGCGAGGGGCAGGGAAGGGTCCAAAACTAAACAGAAAAACCCTGTCTCAAAAAACCAAAACCAAAAAAAAAAAAAAAAATCAAAGCTGTGGAAATACCTCAAAGGAGAGTACTTGCCTGCCTTGCACAAGGCCCTTGAGTTCAGTCCCTAGTGTCGTTTAAAAGAAGATTAGGACAATAGCACTAGAGGAGAGGGGGGATGAAAGTGAGCCACAGCAGGTGCAAAACCAAACAAGTTTCAATAGGCTACATGTGGCCAGTGCAAAAGCACAAGGGGGAGGTGTCCACTCTCACCCACCAGAGGAGGACGTTAGACTTTGCTGTTCAGTGCTTTGTTCAGCAGCAAGCAGATTGTAACTAGACACGCCACTTCCTATCAAGGGTGAATTAGCCTGCTGAAGAGAAAGCTCAGAATTTGTCCAGTAGGGTTCACCTTACTGTGCAGGAGGGGGTGGGTGCATGTCCACACATGCTCATCTCATCGAAAGAAGAACCCACAGATGGTAAAAAACTGTGGATTCTCCTTACCCTCCTGTGTCACCCTACACTAGGCTTCTCGGCCTGCTCTCTCCTGGCACTTTAGGTTAGCTCAATCTCCCCTGACTTCGGCCCACTAGATGTAAAGGTACCTCTCCAGTCGTGACAAGGGAAGTTTCCTTTGAGTCAGAACTGATGCTGATTGAAAGCTGTGCATAGGCTTTCCCAGTTTGCTTCCTGACTTGTGTGACTTTTTACTTTGAACAGAGTTGTAGCATTCACTGCTTTGTGTCTTGTTTTGCCAAAACCTAGTGTGTTACTTTTAAAAATGTGTTTTGTCCTTTCCTGGTAACAAACTCCCTTAATTCCCCCCCCCCTCAGGAAGCAGAGGCTGGCCTGATCTACATACCACATTCTAGGTCATGAAGGGCTACATTGTGAGACCATGTCTTTAAAAGAAATGATTCTACAAAATCACATATATGTCTGTAATCTGTGTCTCCTTATCTAAGAGTATTTGTTTTAGGAATATTGTTATTGTGGGAAAAAATAATATCTATCTTTGGAAATCTCAGTGTATGTAGTTGTCAAATAAAATATGATGTATTCATATAGTGGGTTACTTTGCAATTATGGGAAAGTCAGCTAGAAGCTGGGAAGATTGTGAAGTTAGTACAGTACTAACATGAGGATCTATGTTCAGATCATCAGTCCCCACCTAAAAAGCCAGGTGTGGTGCCAGAATGTCAGTGTGGAGAAGGCAGAGACAGGAAGAGCACTGGAGCTTGATAAACTGCAGATTCTGTGGGAGGCCAGGCCTCAGATAAAAATAAGATGGAGAGTAATAAAACACAAAGCACTGACCTTGTCACCCTGCCCGGCATGCACTCTTGCGCACTCACCCTCAACATGCTAGAGCCATATCATCAAAACAGGAAGGCATCCAGAAATAAGAGCAGCAAGTCAACACAGTATGTTCCCTTTCCATAAAGGAAGATAGTGGCTTTACTGGAAGGTGTGTTGCACATGGTGGCCCATGAATCCCAACACTTGGAGGCAGAAGCAGGCAGATCTCTGAGTTCAAGGCCAGCCTGCTGGTCTACCTCATTCTTATGCTTGTGTGGTAAGCAAAGCCACTTTTTCACTGAGCCATTTCTCCATCCCAAATGCTTTTTAAAAGAGTTACAAACAGAAAGTCATAACTTAGGGACTAGACAGGAACAGTTGTGGGGTGGTGGTTATGTTTGGCCAGATTTTCCTGAACTGGCCTGTACTAACCTGCTTTCTGGAAATAGCCTTGCTCAGGAACTGTGTGCTCCTGTTCATTGTGACGATAAAACTAGAGCTGGATTGTCTAATGATGGACTCTGCAAATTGGGAATGACTTTGTAGGATATAATAATGTTCTCTGTCTTTGTAAGGGTTTGTAACTGCATGGGTGTATTGATTTGTCAAGTATCTGGCATGTTTCACTGTAAATTTTATCTTAAATAAATTATATAGATAGTAAAATCATTAACAAGTAGACTTGACACATGCCTAAATGTTTTGAAAGTGTCATTGATGTGCTGCTTGTCCTCAAAGAGGTGAGAGGATGACATGGGTCAGATGAACAGAGGGTTCAGTGAACAGAGCGTGGGCATTGTTACCTGAGGGTTCAGTGAACAGAGTGTGGGCATTGTTACCTGAGGGTTCAGTGAACAGAGTGTGGGCATTGTTACCTGAGGGTTCAGTGAACAGAGTGTGGGCATTGTTACCTGAGGGTTCAGTGAACAGAGTGTGGGCATTGTTACCTGAGGGTTCAGTGAACAGAGTGTGGGCATTGTTACCTGAGGGTTCAGTGAACAGAGTGTGGGCATTGTTACCTGAGGGTTCAGTGAACAGAGTGTGGGCATTGTTACCTGAGGGTTCAGTGAACAGAGTGTGGGCATTGTTACCTGAGGGTTCAGTGAACAGAGTGTGGGCATTGTTACCTGAGGGTTCAGTGAACAGAGTGTGGGCATTGTTACCTGAGGGTTCAGTGAACAGAGTGTGGGCATTGTTACCTGAGGGTTCAGTGAACAGAGTGTGGGCATTGTTACCTGAGGGTTCAGTGAACAGAGTGTGGGCATTGTTACCTGAGGGTTCAGTGAACAGAGTGTGGGCATTGTTACCTGAGGGTTCAGTGAACAGAGTGTGGGCATTGTTACCTGAGGGTTCAGTGAACAGAGTGTGGGCATTGTTACCTGAGGGTTCAGTGAACAGAGTGTGGGCATTGTTACCTGAGGGTTCAGTGAACAGAGTGTGGGCATTGTTACCTGAGGGTTCAGTGAACAGAGTGTGGGCATTGTTACCCGAGGGTTCAGTGAACAGAGCGTGGACATTGTTACCTGAGGGTTCAGTGAACAGAGTGTGGGCATTGTTACCCGAGGGTTCAGTGAGCAGAGTGTGGACATTGTTACCTGAGGGTTCAGTGAGCAGAGCGTGGACATTGTTACCCGAGGGTGCAGTGAGCAGAGCGTGGGCATTGTTACCTGAGGGTTCAGTGAACAGAGCGTGGACATTGTTACCTGAGGGTTCAGTGAACAGAGTGTGGGCATTGTTACCTGAGGGTTCAGTGAGCAGAGCGTGGACATTGTTACCCGAGGGTGCAGTGAGCAGAGCGTGGGCATTGTTACCTGAGGGTTCAGTGAACAGAGCGTGGACATTGTTACCTGAGGGTTCAGTGAACAGAGTGTGGGCATTGTTACCTGAGGGTTCAGTGAGCAGAGCGTGGACATTGTTACCCGAGGGTGCAGTGAGCAGAGCGTGGGCATTGTTACCTGAGGGTTCAGTGAACAGAGCGTGGACATTGTTACCTGAGGGTTCAGTGAACAGAGTGTGGGCATTGTTACCTGAGGGTTCAGTGAGCAGAGCGTGGACATTGTTACCCGAGGGTGCAGTGAGCAGAGCGTGGGCATTGTTACCTGAGGGTTCAGTGAACAGAGCGTGGACATTGTTACCTGAGGGTTCAGTGAACAGAGTGTGGGCATTGTTACCTGAGGGTTCAGTGAGCAGAGCGTGGACATTGTTACCCGAGGGTGCAGTGAGCAGAGCGTGGGCATTGTTACCTGAGGGTTCAGTGAACAGAGCGTGGACATTGTTACCTGAGGGTTCAGTGAACAGAGTGTGGGCATTGTTACCTGAGGGTTCAGTGAGCAGAGCGTGGACATTGTTACCCGAGGGTGCAGTGAGCAGAGCGTGGGCATTGTTACCTGAGGGTTCAGTGAACAGAGCGTGGACATTGTTACCTGAGGGTTCAGTGAACAGAGTGTGGGCATTGTTACCTGAGGGTTCAGTGAGCAGAGCGTGGACATTGTTACCCGAGGGTGCAGTGAGCAGAGCGTGGGCATTGTTACCTGAGGGTTCAGTGAACAGAGCGTGGACATTGTTACCTGAGGGTTCAGTGAACAGAGTGTGGGCATTGTTACCTGAGGGTTCAGTGAGCAGAGCGTGGACATTGTTACCCGAGGGTGCAGTGAGCAGAGCGTGGGCATTGTTACCTGAGGGTTCAGTGAACAGAGCGTGGACATTGTTACCTGAGGGTTCAGTGAACAGAGTGTGGGCATTGTTACCTGAGGGTTCAGTGAGCAGAGCGTGGACATTGTTACCCGAGGGTGCAGTGAGCAGAGCGTGGGCATTGTTACCTGAGGGTTCAGTGAACAGAGCGTGGACATTGTTACCTGAGGGTTCAGTGAACAGAGTGTGGGCATTGTTACCTGAGGGTTCAGTGAGCAGAGCGTGGACATTGTTACCCGAGGGTGCAGTGAGCAGAGCGTGGGCATTGTTACCTGAGGGTTCAGTGAACAGAGCGTGGACATTGTTACCTGAGGGTTCAGTGAACAGAGTGTGGGCATTGTTACCTGAGGGTTCAGTGAGCAGAGCGTGGACATTGTTACCCGAGGGTGCAGTGAGCAGAGCGTGGGCATTGTTACCTGAGGGTTCAGTGAACAGAGCGTGGACATTGTTACCTGAGGGTTCAGTGAACAGAGTGTGGGCATTGTTACCTGAGGGTTCAGTGAGCAGAGCGTGGACATTGTTACCCGAGGGTGCAGTGAGCAGAGCGTGGGCATTGTTACCTGAGGGTTCAGTGAACAGAGCGTGGACATTGTTACCTGAGGGTTCAGTGAACAGAGTGTGGGCATTGTTACCTGAGGGTTCAGTGAGCAGAGCGTGGACATTGTTACCCGAGGGTGCAGTGAGCAGAGCGTGGGCATTGTTACCTGAGGGTTCAGTGAACAGAGCGTGGACATTGTTACCTGAGGGTTCAGTGAACAGAGTGTGGGCATTGTTACCTGAGGGTTCAGTGAGCAGAGCGTGGACATTGTTACCCGAGGGTTCAGTGAACAGAGCGTGGACATTGTTACCTGAAGTGTGTGTGGTGGGTGTGTACTGTTCAACTCTATAGTTCTTTCAAACAGTCAACAGGCTCTAAAGATAAAAACTGATGGTGGTGGTGGCCCTGCATGCCTTTAACCTCAGCACTCAAGGGCAGAGGCAGGCAGAGTTCAAGGCCAGCCTGGTCTACAGAGAGTTTCAGGAAAGCCCAGGCTACCTCTCTCAAAAAAAAAAAAAAAAAAAAGATCATGGTAAGCAGTAGAAGAAACAGAAGTTGTGGTTTGAGATGGGGGTCTCAATGTGTGGGCCTGGCTGACCTGAAACTCACAGAGGCCTGCCTGCCTCTGCCGCCACATGCTGGGATTAAAGGCGAGCGCCTCAATGCTAAGCAAAGGTGGAATCTTTGTGCTGGTCAGAGAAGTCCTGCTTGAGAAGGTGACTTGAAAGGCTTTGGAGAAAAGGAACTGAGACAGTCACTAAGCCATCTGGACAAGAGTGCTCCATTGAAAATTCCCAGTGAAAGTGTCCTGAGGTAGGAATGAAAGCCTGTTTGTAGAACAGTAAAGAGGCCTGGGGTTAGGGGAGGAGGAGTAGAAGATGGAGTCAGAGAAGTGGCTGCAGACCAGAATGGGGAGGCCCTTCAAGTCAGTAAGGAGCTGTGAGTGGGTGAGGGGCAGTCAGTGGTGGCTTCTGAACAAAGGAACAGCATCACACACACACACACACACAGAGAGAGAGAGAGAGAGAGAGAGAGAGAAGCCTCTCCATCCTTGTTGGTATTCACTGTTTCTGTGTTTTCAGTCCCTCACAGTTTGGAAAGAGTACAAAGTGGGAGTCCCAGGGATAAGTAATCCACAAACCTTGAAGAGTAGAGAGGCCATCGATTCAGATGAGAGGAAATGCACTCTCATTCTGGTCTTTCAGATACTCACATAGAGGTGAATTAGTGCTCAGCCCTGAGGAGCCTGAGGGAGTTGTTCAGTGTTCCCTTTGTGAGGCTAGAATGCTTGGGGGATGGGGGGGGCTTGTAGGAGTTGACTCTTTCCTTCACCATGTAGATCCAGGGGTGGAACTCAGGCCATCAGGTTTGGCACCAAGTGCCTCTACCCACTTGGCCATCTCCCCAGTCCTCCCCCTCTGGTTTGGGTCATCTTTCTCTTCCTTTTTTAAAAAGGTCTCTATATACCCTGACTGTCCTTGAACTCATCATTTTCTTCCTTTTTTAAAAAGGTCTCTATATACCCTGACTGTCCTTGAACTCACTGTGTAGACCAGGCTGGCCTAGAGATCAGATATCCTCTAGCCTCTGCCTCCCAAGTGCTGGGTTTTAAGACTTGTGCCACCTGGCCCAATCCTCTGTTTTTTAAAGTGGATATTATTTTTATTCTATAAGATGCCTGTGGCCATCTTTATATGAAAATTGTTCTGTTGCTGTGGTAGGCGGAAGGGGCTGCCCCCAGAAATGCTGGTGCTCTTATCCCCGGGACTGTCTTCCCACACAAGGGTGTCTGCAGGCATGAAGCACCATACTTTCCAGATTGGAAGGTTGTTCTAAATGCACAGCAAAGCCAGGATTGGCCAAAGGACAAAATTCAGAAATGTTGCAACACAAGAAGATCCTAAAAGCTTAAGGAATGTCCTAGGGGGGAAGGTAAGGTGTCCAGGAGAGAACACAAATGAGGCCACTTTGAAAGAGACAGAAGGCACGGAGTCAGTGGTAACAGTGGGTGCTGGAGGAACTAAAGAAGGCTTTGTACACAGAAATCCACCTTTGTTTTTCCTCTTTCTTTCTTTTTTAATTTTGAGACAGGGTTTCTCTGTGTAGCCCTGGCTGTCCTGGAACTCGCTTTGTAGACCAGGCTGGTCTCCAACTCATAGAGATCAGCCTGCCTCTGCCTCCCTGTTTTTTCTTTCTTTGTAATGCTTGATGCAGAACCAAGCGCCTTGCACATGGCAGGCAATTCTCAGTCAGCCCTCATATCTAAATTTCTTCATGTACTTCAAGTGAGAGGGTAGAGGAGAGACCTTTGCAGTCACCTGGTGTATGTTTTCGCTCTTCAGCAGAACTGAGGAATGAGCGAGGCTAGGCGGTACCATTTGTGCTAAAAGCTGTGAGTGCTCTGGCCCAGAACAATGGGAAAGGGAGACAGCAGAGGTGGAATGTAGCACTGATTCTATTTGTTCCTAATGATTAAAAACCCAGAGACACATTGGGGTTCAAGCTGAAGATCAGAGAAGCAAAGCAGCCAGCCACTAGAGAGCTCCCACCTCTACCAATGCTCAGCTCAAAGGGGCCATCCTGTCCTCAGACTGCATCTCCAGACGGCACTGCTTGCTCCTCAGACTGCCTAGACTGCTCCCATCTCCTCCCGCCTTAGATCCCTCTCTAGTATTGGGATTAAAGGTGTGCCCCGCTGCTTGGTCTCTGTGGCTGACTAGTGTGGCTGCTCTGCACTCTGATCTCCAGGCAGACTTGGGGAAAGCCTGCTCTGCTCTCTCACCCCGGGGCTTTATGTGTGCCGCACCACACTGCACGTGCTGTTAGAGAAGGACGTTCCGGGAGAGAGCACTCAGTGCTGCATCCATTTCACAGTCTTCTCAGAACAGGACTACAGGTCTTGTCCTGGAGTCTGTCAGCCAGGGAGAAGCAAACACTCCCATTTCCTGACTGACTGTCCTGTCTCAGGAGAAGGGGGTGTATTCCAGTATCACGGTTGAAAGGTTGGTGAGAATACAAGCAGATAGGAGACCGGGGAAGTGTTCTTCCAGGTTGTTAGCAGCAGACCCGCTTGTCCTGAGCTGGGTTGTCAGTGACGCCCTTTAGTCTCTGTGGCGTTAGCTTGGTATTGGAGTTAGCCAGTAGTAGGCTGCACCTCAGCACGGCCTGGCTTGTGTTGGTGTCCGCCAGGTTTCCTATGTTATTCGAGATGAAGTGGAGAAGTATAACCGGAATGGAGTCAATGCCCTGCAGCTGGACCCAGCGCTCAACAGGCTCTTCACCGCGGGGCGGGACTCCATCATCAGAATATGGAGTGTCAATCAGCACAAGGTGAGCACAAGCATTACTGCCTTTGGGTAACTCAGAGCTTGGGCCGTGGCTTTGTCTGCTGGGCACTGAGCTTCATATTATATTCTATAAAGATGTTAATATCCTCGGAGATCTGTCAGCCTGTGAGAAAATGCCTCCGTTAACACGGGCTCCATAAATTACTTCCTTAGAGGCCCCTGCCACAGAGGAGCAAATATATTTGGCTGGTGGGGAATGAGCACTTTCCACGGGATTTTGGTTTCATTGTGAACCTGAAAAGTCTCTTGATAACAATACTGAAAATAGAACAACAAAATGTTGAATTGTGTACTTTTACAAATAGTTAATTTCTTTATAAAAAGTGATAAGGTCCCTACAACATGCTAGGGTCTTCCTGGCTGACATGCTGGATGGGAAATCATCCAGGGCCTCTCTCCTTCCTTGTTAGTTGTGCAGCACTGAGCATCAAGTCCTGGGCCGTGTGTGTGCTGGACAAGCACCCTACCATCACTGAGCTACACCCCAGCTTTGAAAGCCTCTTACTTAAGCTGTGAGAGACAGTTCATTATCAAGACACTTTTTGCCAGGTGTTGGTGGCGCACACCTTTAATCCCAGCACTCGGGAGGCAGAGGCAGGCGGATCTCTGTGAGTTCGAGGCCAGCCTGATCTCCAGAGCAAGTGCCAGGACAGGCTCCAAAGCTACACAGAGAAACTGTCTCGAAAAACCAAAAAAAAAAAAAAAAAAGACACTTTTCATGTTCATAATGAAACCAAAATACTGTGGTGCTCATTCCCCACCAGCCAAATAGTTCTTCGTGGTAAGGGAGGTGTACAGTCGAACAGGAGGAGCTCTCAGGTTTGTTTGAATGTCGCCTTGTGAATGAGACAGAGAATGATACTGGGGAGGAAAGGAGCATTTACCGAGCTCTTAACTACGTGTCTTGGCCTCTTGTACTCACCAAGATCTGAAGTCCCCGAAATCCCTCTCAAGGCAGTAAACTGGGGCTCAGCCTCACCTCAGACAGCTCCTGAATTTTTTTTTTTTTAAGTTTGTGTCTTTTTAGCCAGCTCTATAAACCTGTGTTCACTGCAGATGGAGACTGGTTGGCACAGCTGCCTGATAAGGTTTTTTCCAGTGGACTCAGCCCAGCAGGCTTAAGACAAAGTTCTTGAGCCGATGAAGACCATGTCAAAGGCATGAAAATCTGTGTTTGCAATGCCATAGAAACTCATATTTGAATTAGAACATTAACTTTCTGAGAATTTGCAATATTTTGAGCAAATTAAGGGGAAATGCAGCTTACCCAGACTCTGGCAGTCTGTCTGTCCTACCCTCAAACATCTTTTCCCTGGTCTTGACAAGACTGCATAACCTCCATTCTTAGACATGAAAAAATGTAAACTTGCCTGTCTTGGTGTGGGACATAACTAGACACTGTCTATAAAAGGCTCTGGTAGTTGAGCCCAGGCACACTGTGTCAGAAATCCCTACCTCAGGTTCCCCAAGTCCTTCCTGTCCTCCTGCACTCTGTGCCCCCTACCATGCCTAGCCCAGCACTTGCCAATTTTGCCACCGCAAGGTGTAACCTTGGGAACCCAGGCTTTTATGGTAACTGTCCTCAAACAAACTTGTTTGTGTCAGTTCTCTGGAAGCATCGCCTGTTTGGGGAAGTGCCACTCTAGGTTTAAGGGTGATGCTGGGCACATTAAGCCAAGGATCTGCATGGCTGAACTTTGTCATGCCTTTGCTCTGCTATAAACTGCGTGGATTTTCGTTTCAGCAAGACCCATACATAGCATCTATGGAGCACCACACAGACTGGGTGAATGACGTCGTGCTCTGCTGCAATGGGAAGACATGTGAGTATTTGAGGTTGTGAGTCATGTGTGCGCGTTTGTGTGTGCGTGCACGCATAGGTTTGGATGCGTGTGGAGACCAGAGGTTGCCATCAGCCGTCTTCTCCCATGCTGCTACACCACAGTGTTTGAGACAGGGCCTCTGACTGATCGAGAGCTCACTGATTGCTAGGTTAGGTAACTCCGGAGCTCCTGGATCTGCTGCTCTCCACTGCTACCCCTCTCCAGTATCAAAGTCATACATAGTAGGACTACAGGCGTTTGTTTTTATGTGGGTGCTGGTGACACCTGATGCCTACCCAAGAGACCCTCATTTGGGGAGCCGTGCCCCAGCCCTGCAAGACTGTTTCATTGAAGCACAGCACACATGTAGAAAAGTGCACACACACTGAAGCCACAGTAAAATGTAACAGAGGGTTACCAGGCGCCTCCTTGTGCCATCCCACCTTCCTCACCGAAGTTAGTTTTATACAAATTTGAATGGTAGATTAAATAGAACCCTGTACTGTATATCATTTTTTTAGCCTTAGTATGACATTTTTTTCTTATTTTGCTAAGTTCCATTTCTTGGTTTTTCAGTTTGAGTAATTATTCTCAAATAATTAAGGACTTTACCTAACAGCTTGTCCTGTCTAATTAAAACCAATAATGGGCCGGGCGTTGGTGGCGCACGCCTTTAATCCCAGTACTCTGGACACACAGGCAGGCAGATCTCTGAGTTCGAGACCAGCCTGGTCTTCAAGAGCTAGTTCCAGGATAGTCTCCAAAACCACAGAGAAACCCTGTCTTGAAAAACAAAACTAAATAAATAAAAACAATAATGTATATATGTATACTTACATATGTCTTTGAGGCATTATTCAGAAAGTTCTAGAAAGAGCTTTTCATCGTGTAGGTGTGAGCAGTTATTTGTAGTGGCATTACTTGTTGTAAGCTAGCCTTAAAGCTGCAGTTCACTCTAGTGAGGCTCGGTTGACCCTTTGTCTCTTGTAGTAATATCTGCTTCTTCAGACACGACGGTCAAAGTGTGGAACGCACACAAAGGGTTCTGCATGTCCACACTCAGGACGCACAAGGTAATGTCCACGGTTCAGTCTTCCTGTCGTGTGGGGAACTCAGCTCTTTTTGTGACTCCTGTTCTTACAGCGTAGATCATAGTGTGTCTGGTCTGTTACAGGATTATGTAAAGGCCTTAGCCTATGCCAAGGACAAAGAGCTGGTGGCATCGGCTGGATTGGACAGACAAATATTCCTTTGGGATGTGAACACTCTAACAGCACTGACTGCCTCAAATAACACTGTCACAAGTAAGGTGTTTGAAAACAGTTTTTGAAAGTGATCTAAGTTGACATAAAGAACGATTAGGAGCTAGCTCATTGCTGTGCTGTCGACTTGGTAGCTTCTCCAGACGGAACCTGGCTGTTTTGTGTGTATGTGTGCGCGTGCATGCGTGACTTCGCTACATAGCTGTGGTGTAAGTCCCTGCAGGTAGAAGCATCAGTCTTATCACACTGTGTACCTCCCCATAGTGTTGCTGCCTCCCCACTCTTTGTTAATGGCCGAAATCCAGGGGCAGAATGTTTCCAGTACCAGTTGAGAAGAACTGTTCAGAGTAGCCTAAAAGAACTGGAGCATTTCTGGAAAAGTCCAGGGAGGCTGGAGTACTTCTAGAGGGAATGTAGAGGTGTTCAGTGTTGCTGTTTGATAAACTTCCAGGTCAGGCTTACACAGATCTAGACAGGAAGTTAACACTGCACTAGCCCAGCCTCTGGGAGCCTCCAGGCCAGATGTCTGAGGACTCCTTGTGGGAGCACCAGAGACCTCATTCAAGACACAGGCATGGACGGCGAGATTTCTACATTATATAGCTCCGTTTTGTTGTAACTCCAAGGACTCCCATGGCATGTTACAGCTAAAATAGTTACACTGTGACTTAGTCTGTTCCTGAAAGGATGGTGGAGAGACTGGTTTTATAACTTGAGTGTTGTTTTGCCCAGAAGTGTTTGTGGATCTAAAGAGGGTCTTCCCCTTGTCGTCCCCCCCCCCAGGTTTTTTTTGTTAGGTTGGTTTTATTTGTTTTGTTTTTTAGGGATCCAGCAGGTAGGCCTGCTGGTCTATCCTGGATTTCTCTTTTTAAGGCCTGCCAGCCTCTAAGATACACAGGAGCAGAGACTTGGCCTTAGCGAACATAGATCCTGCCATAGCTGGGCTTGCTCAGATTGTAAGGGAAGCTGTCACCCAGTCTTATGAGTGTAGAAACCATGCTAATAATAGTTGCCATTGGCGGAATGCTCACAGGCAGGCATTTCCAAACCCCTCATGTCTGCTCACGCCCAGGCCACCAGTCATCGTGAAAACACTTTCACTTTGGCTTCCAAATCAAAGGGTATGGACTTGATTGTGGCTAAAAGGGTTGCCTTGGATTTGGGAGATTTGGGTCGTTTTTTTATTTATCTGATTTGTGTGTGAAATGGTGTTTTCCTTTTGTATGTCTTTGAACAGTAGTGATGTTAACACTGAACTCCCTTTATCCTCAATAGCTTCTTCTTTAAGTGGGAACAAAGATTCCATTTATAGCCTGGCCATGAACCAACTGGGAACAATCATTGTATCGGGGTCCACTGAGAAGGTAAGGGTGGCCTGGCCAGTATCTCTGAAGTTAAGAAAGTCAGTGGTGGGGCTGGAGGGATGGCTCAGAGGTTAAGAGCTCTGTCTGCTCTTCCAGAGGTCCTGAGTTCAATTCCCAGCAACCACATGGTGGCTCACAGCCATCCGTTATGAGATCTGATCTGGTGTGCAGATATACATGGAAGTAGAATGTTGTATACATAATAAAAAAAAAAAAAAAACTTAAAAAAAATAAAAGAGAAGGGAGTCGTTGTACCTGTTCAGTCATTAAATACATGCACAGAGCTATTGTGCCAGCAGGTGGGGGGCTGAGGTCAGAAGTTTACAACCAGCCTAGACAACACAGCCAAATCCCTGTCTCAAGAGAAGCTAAAAAATAAAAATAATAAAGACCAGTAATTTTGTCTAGTGGGTGATAAAAGAAGTGTTATTTGTATCCATAAGAGTGTAGCTATACAACCACTGTGCATGTCGGGATGGGCACAAGATGTCCTGAAGCCGAGCAGCCGTGGACAGCGTACATTGGCTGCAGCAGTGTTTGCCCCTCAGAAGTTAATAGCTGCCGTGTGATATGAAAGTTGGGTGCTTTCGGAAGCCTGTTGTGTCTGTATTTGGTCTGTATAATACTCTGTAAAAACCGGCAGGTTCTAAGAGTGTGGGATCCAAGAACCTGTGCAAAACTCATGAAGCTGAAAGGACACACGGACAACGTGAAGGCACTGCTGCTGAACAGAGACGGCACACAGGTAGGAGCTGTTTGCAGGCCCAGCCAGTGGCCTCACCGAAGTGCTCCCTCTTTAGAATGCTAAATTGTGGTGCAGGGATTAGAGCACTTGTTGCTCTTGGAGAGAACTTGAGTTTTATTCCTAGCACACAGGTCCAGTAGTAATTCACAGCCTTCTGTAACTCCAGCTGCTCCAGGGGAATCTGGCTCCCTCAAGTTTCACTCGCTGTACTCCACATAAAAGGACGTGTTGTTTTACCTGAAGGCAGAAACGAAAGCTCCCTGGTCAGGTCCTGATGCAGCTGTGTGCAGTTTGGCTGCACAGAGGTCAGCATAGCTCCAAGTGCTGACTTTGTAAGCAGAAGGAAGCTTTGCTATCAAACCCTTTGCCTGCCTCTAAGTGGAGAGTCTCACAGTTGTCTGGCTTGGGCAGTTGTGTGGTTGGCTGTGTTGTCTATAGGTTTGAGTCTCTAGCAGTGAGCTAAAGGCCTAAAGCTCTTCCTAGCCACTGCAGTCTGTCCTGTTTGCTCTTTGCAATTTATAATGTGCTTCTGTGTGAGGGATTGAACTGTCGTATGGAGATCCCTTAAAGTCAGTTCTGTCTGCTATAAGCAGTAATGTCAGTGGGGCTCCGTTCTATACATCCAAACTACCTGTTGGATCTTAGGTTAGTTGTCTGTTACCTGCGTGGTTTTTCTGGCAGTTCAATTCCCAAACCTAACCTAGGGATATGGGATCACAGCGTCAGGCAACTTTTCCAGTGGTAGTCAGGTCCCCACACACAGGCACCTCCCACTGCTGTCACTGGGAGACCAGGAATGTCTACTTGGACTTCATGATCTGTCTGAGTAAGTCTGATTTAGCAGAACAATCCGGGGCATTGCATTTGTCTGAAATAATCTCTTGTTGGAGTTGGACCTCTCACATTTTTAACCAATGGAAGGAGAGAGGAGAAGATGGAGAGTACAAGCTGTTTTGTTGGTTCTGCTAACTACTATCTATAGGACACTTGGTGTCATCTGGGACCTGGAATAGGGAGGAGGGTGCTCATCGTACAGGGCATTCTGGAGCCTGGTCTTGTACAGGGTGGCAGTGCTGTTTAAAAGCTGTTGTTCTTTCTGTGACTTGCTGTCCTTGAAGCCATAGAATGCTGGCTGCTGTTGAGATTGTTTTGTGTCTGGTATTCATTTGATACGACTTCTGTGCTTTCTCCGCTCCCACCTGTGTGCTCTGCATCTGCTGCCTCAGCTGTGTGGACCTCCAGAGCATCATCTTTGCCAGACCTTGCTGGCTGTGGGCGTATGTCCTAGGATCTAGGGGGCTGGAACTTTGCTGAGAGAATTGCCACCTCAGAGTAGCATCTTCTGGCTTAGGGAGCCCCTCCTTGGCCATGTCCCAAAGAATGTCTGAGTTCTCCGTCACCCAGGGTGGATCAGTCATTCCCTTGTGAACTAGTTGAAAGAGGTGAGTTCTGGTGCTCCTGGCAGTTGGTGAGGAAGTCTACTACTCCCTGTTCATTTAATTAAACCTGCTCACAGTCTCACAGGCTCCTGAAAATCAAGAGGCAGAGGGGTAAATCCTTAACAGTCTCAACCACCTTTCATTTAAGAACCACCCAAGTCCGGGCCCACAGCTGCTTTCCCCTGCAGCTATGCCTTAGTCTCACATACCAGCACCAGCAGCGTCTCAGGAATACTGAGCATGCCCGGTGTGGGTGTAGGGTGACTCATTGAGCCTGTTTCTGTGCACTCATTTGTAGTTGCTTCTCCTGAACCTTGAGAAAAAGTCAGCTCTGTGAGAATTGTTCAGGATCCCGGGGAGGGACACAGTCCTTGGCTAGACCTGGCTTCTGATTCCTGTCAGCACCAAAGACATGAGCCATGAGCAAGAGCGTGACACAGAGCTGTAACCCAGGATCCCAAAAGGCCCTCTGGCCTGGAGCAGTGCTGTCAGCCAGAGAGCATGGCAATCACCCGGGAAGCCTGCTGTGTGTCTTGGTGACCCTGCTGTGGCCCTGCCTCCTTGGTCTGGATGGGACTCGGGAGAGTTTATGTTTTTAATAAGTTCCCAGTTTGGATGATTTCAGGTTCCGAGGTCAACACCACCTTATTTTCAGCTGCCAGACTGGCTCCCTCAGTAATGGAGCATCCAAACACAACTCACCGTTAGGGTTTACAGAAATAGCAGGTGGCTGCGTAGAGAGGACTCGGTGTCCCTGTTGGAGCATGCACACTGTCTGTGGCCATTTCAGCCTGGCATGCTCCTGGTAGTACCCTCCCCTTGTCTTCTCTGTTGATAGTGTCTGTCTGGGAGTTCTGACGGAACAATTCGCCTGTGGTCCCTTGGCCAGCAGAGATGTATAGCAACGTACCGAGTCCACGATGAAGGCGTTTGGGCTCTACAAGTCAACGATGCCTTCACGCATGTATATTCTGGAGGAAGGGACAGGAAGATTTACTGCACAGACCTAAGAAACCCTGACATTCGGGTGCTGATTTGTGAAGAAAAAGCACCAGTTCTCAAGGTGTGTTGAGTTTTCCAACTGAAGTTGTGAGTTTGGTTAGGCTTTTGCAGCACAGCATCCTCCATAGGGTAGGAAAGAGTCTCAGTGTAGACACCTGGGGGCAGTTTAGGGAGCTGTGACCTCCAAGGCACATGACTGGGGTGTGGACGGCTTTCCTACTGGTAAATCCTAGTGTCACTGGCTCAGGCATGCTGCTGAGTTTGTCTGGCTCTCCTGCCTTAGGAAGAGTGTGAGCAGCTAGGGGTGTCTAAGCAGACAGAAAAGCCAAGAGGCCTGGACGATAAGGCCCCAGCCCCTGCAGGAGGTGAGGGGTGGAAGAGTCCTGCTTCACGATGGAGATGGCACCTTGATGGTCAGCTCACCTTCCTCTAGGGAAGCAGAACATTAAGGCTATGGAGAGGGCAAGCATGGAAGAGACTGCCCTGGGAGCTCCTTGACTGTGTGTCTACCTAAGTCCCAACAGTTAACATAAATTAAAATCAGCCTGTCCACAGTGGTGCCTGTCTATAATCCAGCTGTTGGCAGGAGAATCATGAATTCATACCAGCATGGCTGACTTAGGAGATTCTGAAACTATAATTCCGTCCGTGTTCACATGCACAAGTGAGCAGCTGCAGGTGGCTTGCTGGTATGGGGTCACTTGGCTGCCGTGTCATAAGACTGAGCTCCTTTACTCCTTTGGGGGAGACCCCTTCCCTACACGTCCTACCTCACTGCTACAAGCCTGTGCAGGCGGTGTAGAGTTGTTCAAAAGGAGTGAACAACTGGTGTGTCACCAGGTCCATAGCTCATCTCTGGGATAGCAGCTCAGAGGCATCAGCCCTTGGCCAAGAAGACTATGTTTGGTTTTCAGATGGAGCTTGACAGATCAGCAGATCCCCCTCCTGCAATCTGGGTTGCAACAACAAAGTCCACAGTAAATAAATGGGTAAGTGTGTGACCATGCTCATGGCAAGTCTGTTAATGTGGTTGGTTTGCTATCCCAGATGTGCCAGTTACCACAGCAGTGTGGCCTTGTCCGCATGCCCCTGTGAGTTCAGGTATGAACCCTGAGAGTGAAAGTAACTCTGAAATTCATGGGTGAAATGAAGCTGCTTTTTCTGTTAGCAACTAAGGTGTGTGCTTAATGTACTTAGAGCAGACTGTGGCCTGATTACAGCTGTCAGGGTTAGACAGCTTCTAGCCTTGTAAGCTGCACCTGAGAGCAGGCATGTGTGCTGGTGCACAGCTTTAGCCCCACACTTAGGAGGTTGACAGGTGGGAGTGCTGCACATGCACCACCAGCCTGGGCTACACAGCAAGACAGTCTTTGAGTTCAACATGTGAAGGAATGAAGTAGACAGACCACAGAGCGGGACATTGGCTTCTGACCATCTCCTCTCTCTGTGGCATGGAGAGCAGCCAGGCCCGCCATAGAACCAGCTCCTTAAGGAGTTGAGCTTTGTGCATGGCTGACTCCAGGAGCTAGAGGAAGGGCGTGTGTGCTCTTGTGCCCATCAGTGATAGTCTTTGAGGGAATAGTGCCCTGTTTGGGAGCTTAGTTACAACTGTTCTGTTGTGATAAATACCAGGGCAGCTTAACAGAAAGCATGTAAATAGGGGCTTACTTAATTTCAAGAGTTTAGTCCATGACCATTGTCTTAGTCAGGCTTTCCATTGCTGTGAAGAGACACCATGACCACAGCAACTCTTACAAGGAAAACATTTCATTGGAATGGCTCACTTACAGTTTCAGGCGAGTCCATTGTTGTGTGGAGGGAGTGTGGTGGTGTGCAGGCAGGCATGGTGCTGGCTACATCTTGATCAGAAGCCAGCAAGACATGGACTGTCTCACTCTGCATGATTTGAGCATATATGAACCCTCAAAGCCCACCTCCACAGTGACACACTTCCTCCAACAAGGCCACACCAAATATTGCTCCCTGTGAGTTTATGGGGGCCAGTTACATTCAAACCACCACAACCATCATGGCAGGAAACATGGTGGCAGTTCTGTAAATGCAGTTCTTGATTGGTCTCGATAATAAAAAGCCGGAGTCAGATATAGAGGGAAATGCTGAGAGATCAGAGAGAAGGAGCAAGCCACAGCACACCGCACCTCCTTAGCGTCTGAGCAGACAAGAGAGTGGGTTCCTGTTTCTCCCTGATCATATCCTGTTTCCGCCCAGCTACTTTACTTCCCATCTATCTGTACAGACCTCTGTGGTTAGCTCGTGGCAAGCGCTATTCTCTGACCCCCAGACAGGCTTTACTTGTACAAGATACCAGCACACAGGCCGCATGGTACATGTAACTGAGAGCTCACATCTGGTCTAGAAGTTGCAGACAGGGAGTGAGCCTGGCATGGGCTTTAAACAGTTCCACTAATTAGGGACCAAGCATTCAAATGTAGGGCTATTCTCATTCAAACCACCACAGGGGCCTTGGTTCTGTTGGGGTTTTTTGTTTTTGTGGGGTTTTGGTTTTTTTTGTTTGTTTGTTTGTTTGTTTTTTGGTTTTTTTGTTTTTGTTTTTTGTTTGTTTGTTTGTTTGTTTGTTTTTTTGAGACACAGGCGGATCTCTGTCAGTTCAAGGCCAGCCTGGTCTACAGAGTGAGCTCCAGTTCAGCCAGGGCTACATAGAGAGACTCTGTCTCAAAAACAAAACAAAGCATTCAAGCATTCCCTTATGACTATTTTTCGGGGATTTCTTGGTTAGACCCTGTGGCCCCTGCTGTGACTGGATGTGCCCTGATAGAGCTGTAGCCCTGAGCATTTCCTAGTTCTGTAACTGCGTCATTCTCATCGCTTGATAATTTTTTCCTGTAGACACTGAAGGGAATTCATAATTTCCGAGCCTCTGGTGATTATGACAATGACTGTACAAATCCCATAACGCCACTCTGCACACAGCCCGACCAGGTTATTAAAGGTAAGAAGGCCACAGGCAAACACACACTGATAATGAAGTTATAGTTAATGAAAGTAAGTGGTGGCCTTTCTTTTTTGGGGGTGTGGGGTTTTGAGACAGGGTTTCTCTGTGGCTTTGGAGGCTGTCCTGGAACTCACTCTTGTAGACCAGGCTGGCCTCAAACTCAGAGATCCACCTGTCTCTGCCTCCCGAGTGCTGGGTCTAAAGGCATGAGCCGCCACCACCTGCCTATGATGGCCTTTCTTCAAATTACTAGACAGAAGACTAGTAATATGTGGGTTTGTTATTAGCACAAGAATGTTATGGTAAGAAATTGGGAGGGTGTAAGGATATTTTTTTATTTGTTCTTTGGTAGTTTCATCCGTGTCTTTCCACCCTGTCCATTGCCCCTGGATATGCCCCTCTCCCAATTTTTTTTTTTTTTTTTTTTTTTTTTTTTTGTGTGTGTGTGTGTGTCCCCTACTGGGTCCCTTTGGTGCTGTGCATATGCACAGGGCTGTGGTTTTGACTTTTTTTTTTTTAAGTGATGTCTATTATGGCACAGATGAGGGGTTTGTGTGGTACCTCAGAGGAGACCCAACCTCCCTCTACTGCCTTCCCTAGACGTCATGATGGCTTTGTGTGTTTGGATCTGTATGAGTGGTCTCTGTGTCAGCCTTGTATTTGCCAGGGTCTTGCAGTCCCATTTGCTGCAAACAGGACATGACACATTTTGCTTTCAGTATACTGTGTGTGTTTTGACACTATTCTCAAGTTCATTTTTTACCCTACAGCACAGTAGCCGTGTAAAATACATTTAACCTTGTCTTTGGGCACAGATATAAGCCTCAAATTCTATGCTTTGGCTGACTGAGCAAAAAAAAAAAGTGTATTTCATTTCATGTTAGCACTTAGGGTTAGCCTCCCATAGCTCTTCCCTCTAGTCAGGAGGTGTGAAGGTGAGGAGCAAGAGTAATGGCAGGCTGGCCGCTGACTCAGTACTTCTGCCCAAGCCTGACAGCTTGGATTCTGTCTTCTGTGCCCTTGTAAAGGTGGAAGGGTAGAACCAGCTCCAGAGTTGACACCTGACCACATGTGCACTGGGGTGTTTATGCTCCATTATGCCGGTTGTTCTTTTTCTCTCCCATAGGGGGCGCTAGTATCATCCAATGCCACATCCTCAATGATAAGAGACATATACTAACCAAAGATACGAATAACAATGTGGCTTACTGGGATGTGTTGAAGGTGAGTGTCGGGTTAGAGGTACAAATCACATGTTCCTCTTAGCTTTCCTTCCTTGTACATGACAATCAAGATTTTATTTGCAATAGTGCTTTATCTGGGGGTGGGTACTTCAGATATAGGAAGACATAGTCATTTACTTTTTTAAGCACCTGAACCATTTCCCTGGTTACTGTATTAGAAACTGTATGAAAGGCTGCCTTGCTTTAAAAGGGTCCGTCAGAGTTCTCATCCTTTATGCTATTGGCACTTTAGTCTGGGTAGTTCCTCAAGTATAGAGAGAGCCGTTCTGTCCTGTCTTTCTTTCACAAAAGGGTCCCATGGGAACTGGGAGATCAAAAGAAGCCTTGGTCACTCGATCATCGGCAGATTACCATACTCACCGTGTGTGGCCCGAGGCCGTGCTGCTATTCCTGCACTATTTCCACAGCACTCAAGAGTCTTGTCAGACCAGCATCTCTAAGGCTGAGCTAGTAGCTTTCTGTGTATGGTTCTGTCTGTCGCCCACTCTTGGTCTGGTTAGCTGCTCTCAGTAGAACCCTGCTGTCTGAATGGGATATAGTTCGGCTTGGGTAGAGCTCCCAGCCCAGTGTGCATGAGTGTTACTCCTCGAACAGCTTCCCATGCCCAGGGAACAAACCTTGGACATTTTGAAGTCACGTGATCTGACATACTAAACCTAAGTAGGTAAAGAAGTCAAGGAAGCCTGGGGACATGGAGGAATAGGCAGAGCTGTGTTCTAGTCTGTAGTCAGTGACCAGTCACATGACCTGCTGGACTTACCTGAACCTCTGGCTTCACCCCCAAAATTGCCATCACCCATTTCCTGGTGATGTCAGGGGCATATTTCAGGATCATGCAACACAGGGCTCACACAGAGGAATCTGCTTCAGTGAAATGGGTGGGAAACGAGACAGACAGGAAGGAAGGAAGGAAGGAAGGAAGGAAGGAAGGAAGGAAGGAAGGAAGGAAGGAAGGAAGACGTGAGAAGGACTCCTGGGCTCTGTTGTGGTTGGAAGTCTAGAGGTAGAAGATGACAGCCCAGCTGTCAGGATACAATGGTGGGACAGACAGCTAGGCAGTCCACTGGGAAGGCTGAAGCAAGTACTGCAGGCGTTGGTGGTGCACGCCTTTAGTCCCAGCACTCAGAAGGCAGAGGCAGGCGGATCTCTGAGTTCAAGGCCACCCTGATCTACAGAACAAGTTCCAAGACAGCCTGGGCTGTGTAACAATAAGTCTTTCTGCCAAGCCTCCCGAGCCCTACTGCCCTGCTTTCTACCAGGGTGCCCAAGTTCCGCCTGCCGCCATGTTATGATCCCAGGTAACACACAGAGACTTATATTAGGTACAAATGCTGCTTGGCCAATGACTAGGATTTCTCATCTGCTAGCTCAGTCTTAATTATCATAAAACTATATATTTTATAAGGCTTATCTTACCGGACGCCAGCGGAAGTGTCCTGTCTTCCCGGGCTCACATGGTGACTCTGCACTTTCTCCTACCTTTCCCATAATCCTCCTTGACTCCTAGTCCCACCTGCCTTGTTTTCCTATTGGCCAACAGTACTTTATTTGTCAACCAATAAGACAATCATATACACAGAAGGACCTCCCCCATCGGGGCTGCACAGAGAAACCCCATATCAAAAAAACAGTAGCCCTCAACATGGCGGTTACAGATGATGTCATGGGATTTGTCAAGACATCCAAGAAATATGACCAAGAAGAAAATAAACGGGGCCATCATTCTTACCAGAGGGCTAGAAGGAAGCCCCTAGTGAGTGAGAAAGCCAGGAGCCAATGACAGACAGCTCAAGGACAAATGGGGTTTTCAGACAGGAGCGGAGAGAACCTTGAGGGTGATTTCTGGGGGAGCCCTCTAGGCAGCAGCCAATGGGTTCAGTTTTAACTACTCCTGAGGAGAATGCAATGGGGGCAGGAAGCTAACAAAGATACACCAGTTTCCAGCCAGGCGTTGGTCGCGTACACCTTTGATCCCAGCACACAGGAGGCAGAGGCAGGTGGACCTCTGAGTTCGAAGCCAGCCTGGTCTACAGAGTGAGTGCCAGGACAGCCAGGGCTACACATAGAAACCTTGACTTGGGAACATGGAGGAGGGGGGAGCTATACAAGTTTCCAGGACAGGAGGGCCAGAACACAACCAGAAGGGCATCTTTTTCTTGCACTGGGAAAAAGAAGGGGTTTCTGTCTAGGTTTGCTTATGCACTTACATGCACTTCCACAATGACAACTGAACCCATATTCTCAAGAACAACAAGTATTCTTAACCACTGAGATATCTCTCCAGCTCATTAATTTAAAACTTTACTAGCAGGTAGTTATTCAAAGGCCTTAGGATAAAAGAATTGGCTGTCTGCTTCTTTTTTCTTCTTCTTTCTTTTGGTTTTTCGAAACAGTGTTTCTCTGTGTACCTTTGGCTCCTGTCCTGGAACTCACTCTGAAGACCATGCTGGCCTTGAACTCACAGAGATCTGCCTATCTCTGCCTCCCAAGTGCTGGGATTAAAGGTGTGCGCCACCACTGACCAGCTGGCTCTCTTCTTTTTGAGATGAACTTTAGAATTATGTAAACAGTGTGTAGCATCAGGAAGTGGATCCCCTGCTTCACACTGACCATGGTGCTTCCTTGTGCAGGCATGCAAAGTGGAGGATTTGGGCAAAGTGGACTTTGAAGACGAAATTAAGAAAAGATTTAAAATGGTGTACGTTCCAAATTGGTTCTCAGTAGATCTAAAAACAGGGGTGAGTTAACAATATTTTTGTAATTTTGGATAATTGAAGATCCCTAACATGCACTAACTATTCTTACAGAGTTTGACGTTTTTAATATATGCAATTGCTTTTTCTCCCATGTTAATAAACTATCATTCAAGCCTTTGGCACTTGAGTAAAGTGAACCATAGCTACATTGATTCCCATGAAACATGGCTTACCGCCTTAGTCTAGTGTGCGAATGCATGAAAGTTCAGGTGCTGCAGGAGAGAGGGAGGGAGGGAAGGAAGGAAGGAATGCCACTGACATTGGTGCCTCTGACAGATGCTGACGATTACTCTGGATGAAAGTGACTGCTTTGCTGCCTGGGTTTCTGCGAAAGATGCTGGCTTCAGCAGTCCCGATGGGTCAGACCCAAAATGTGAGTTAAGTGTTTTCTATTGAAGAAGGTGGGTGTGGGCAGGGACTGCTGGCTAATCATCTCTGTAAGTGCCCCCCCCTTGTTGTTTGATTTGGGTTAAGTGCCCCCCCCTTGTTGTTTGGTTTGGGTTAAGTGCCCCCCCTTGTTGTTTGATTTGGGTTAAGTGCCCCCCTTGTTGTTTGATTTGGGTTAAGTGCCCCCCCCTTGTTGTTTGGTTTGGGTTGGGTTTTTGAGACAAGGTTTCACTGTGTGGCCCTGGCTTTCGTGGAACTCACTCTGTAGACCAGGCTGGCCTTGAACTCATAGAGATCCACCTGCCTCTGCCTCCCAAGTGCTGGAATTAAAATTGTATGCCATTACTACCCAGTACTTATTGTATCTTCACTCAGCATTCTTCTAAGAATTTGCCATGTAGAAATCAACACAGATGTGCAGATAAAGTGTTGCTGGATTCAGGGGAGTATCTCTGCAAATAACATCTTATTTGTTTGTAAAGAATAGCTAACCCAGGCATAGTGGCTCATGCCTGTAATGCCAACGCTTGGGAGGCTGAAGCAGGAGAATTGGATGAGTTCTGGGGCAGCCTTAGCTACAGTGTAAAACCCTGTCTCTAAAAGGAAAGGAGAGTGACTGCTGAAGAGCAGTGTAGTCTCCTCCTCGTCTCAGACTTGAGGTCAGATGCTGAGGCCTGCCTGTCTGTGGTCTGGGTTAGGAGATGCTGAGACTGCCTGTCTGTGGTCTGGGTTAGGAGATGCTGAGGCCTGCCTGTCTGTGGTGTGGGTTAGGGTCTTCAGCATGGGTGCTGCAGCACAGCAGCGCGTGCCTGTCATCCCTGTACATGGGCTGAACTCACACAGAAGAGAAAAGCAGAGTTAGTACCAGCTCAGACAGTTGCACCTGAAAAGCCACCAGACTTGTGTGTACACCCCTAGACGCACGTCAGTCCCCTCTCCTGAGGACTCACCTCCACCTTTGGGTGCCCCAGCTGCCCTGTTGATAGCCTGCCCTGAGTGTAGTTCTGCTTCTGGAGCAATCCCCCTCTGTCTTAGCTTAGAGATAACAAACGCTCCGTGTTTCTCCTGTCAACTTGCAGTGAACTTGGGAGGACTTCTCCTACAGGCTCTCCTTGAGTACTGGCCGAGAACACACGTGACTCCCATGGACGAAGAAGAGAATGAAGTGAACCATGGTTAGTGTGTGTATGTTCAGGAAAGCAGGAGTTGCTTGGAGCCAGAGTGCGTATATCTGTGGTATGCCCAGTTAATTGTCTCCTTTCTGCACCTGAGTGAGAGTGCCCAGTGAACTGAGATAGACCATTGTGGGGTGTGATTCTCAAAGGTGAAAGAAACCCCATGTTTGATATTCAAAACAGAAACATGCCGTGTGGTGGTGGTGCACATCTTTAATCCCTACAACAACAACAAAAAGACAAACATAACCAGCTACCTCTGTACAGACAGTTAAGACACCTGGTGGTTTGGTTTGCTTTGGTTGGGTTTGGTTTGGCTTTTCAAGACTGAGATTCTCTGTGTAGTTTTGGCTGTCTGGAACTCATACCATAGACCAGGCTGGCCTCAAATTCAGAGATCCGCCTGCCTTAGCCTCTGCCTCCAGAGTCCTGGGATTAAAGGTGTGTGCCACCACTGCCCAGCTAGACACCTGTTCTAGATACTGTTTCCCTCCCTTTTTCTATCTTTGAGACAAGTCTCTTGTAGTCCAAGCTGTCTCACAGTTGACATAGCTCCTTCCACCTCTGTCTCCCAAGTACTGGGGTGACAGATGGTGCCACTGTGACCAGTTTACAGGGGGCTTTCGACCAAGCAGCAGGGCATTTGTGTGCAGGGCCAGCACTGAGTCAACTACATTTATCTTGTGTTAAACCCTCCAGAAGGGACTATTTTTCACGGTGGGTAGCGTGAAACTGGACTTCTGGTAAGATCTTCTGAAATACAGTCAGTATAAAATACTGAATTCTTACTTTCAGGGGTTTAACTTTATTCTTTTAATATCTAAAAAAATGTCACGTATGCATGTGAAGGCCAGACAAGGGCATCAGATCCCCTGGAGCCGGTATAACTGGCAGCATGGGTGCTGGGAACTGAACCCAGGTCCTCTGGAAGAGCAGTCAGTGCTCTTACCCACTGAACCGTCTCTCCAGCACCAGGATTTTTTACTTTTAAAATGTTGGAATGCTTAGTGTGTTATGACGAGTGTTTAGAAACTGTAGTCTCAGCACTGACGGCCTGCCTGTCTTTCCTAGTGAGTGGGGAGCAGGAGAGCAGAGTCCAGAAGGGAAATGGGTATTTCCAAGTGCCCCCCCACACCCCTGTGATATTTGGCGAAGCTGGAGGTCGCACACTGTTCAGGTATGGATGAGAAGGACCAGAGGCCCTGCCTAAGAAAGACTTTGCTTGACAGACTAACCCTCTTGCTAGGAAGTGCTGGCAGTGTGTCATTAACTTGTAAGAGTGTCTGGAATTGGCTTTTCCATCTCCTTGAGATAGCTAAATGCCTGGTGCAGTGAGTGTTGATTCACAGGCCCTGCCCCTCCACTCAGATGCCTGCCTCCGGGCAGCATCTCTGGTGGTACTTTCTCTCACTTTGCCAGTGGGACTGCCTGCCAGGGGCAGAGACGAGGTGGCATGACAGCCGTCCCTGCCCACAGGGGGCTGGGCCACACAAGATGGACTGGGAACTTATGATCCACACTGGCTCAACCTGGGCTGCCAGGAATCCTCTCTGGGCCTTCCAGGGAAGGGAAGGCTGCTGTGCTTACCCTCAGCTCCCAGCACAGGTGTGGTGGGGCTAGACAAGTGTCAGATGTGAGGAGACGTCTGCCTTGCCCGAGTGTAGACTTCCTTCTTTTGCGAGGGCTCTCAGTGTAGCAGCCACGCTAGAACCCTCACTGTGGGCGAAGTCCATGCCATGCCCCATAGCACTGGCTGGGCCCTCTGCTGAGTGCGTCCTGTGGTGACCGGGGACTCCCTGCTCTGCTGTCACTTTGCTGTCCTCAGTGAGCACTGTGAGGGTTCCTCTTCTGTTGTCCCCTTGCTTGTCATGACACTGACTACCTGATGGATTGTGTCTAGGCTGCTCTGCCGGGATTCCGGGGGCGAGACTGAGGCGATGCTTCTCAATGAGACAGTGCCACAATGGGTAATTGACATCACTGTGGATGTAAGTGTCCTCCACTCCCGCTTTGCCCTTTTACTTTTCCCAGATGGTAACATTAAGGACCGTTTTAGACAGCACAGACTTAAACTGTAACGAAAGTCTCCTGCCAAGTGGAATCCCTCTGCTTTCCTGAAGTTCCCAAGTTGCAGGCCCATCTGATAATTGTTTACATTACATATTGATTTGTATTTGTCAGGTTTGAGTAATAACAATAATATATGCTCATTCTATTTGGTGATTGCTGTTTGGAGTGAAGTGCCCACCTCTTACCATCCATCCCCCCCACCCTTTCACCCCACCCTTTCACCCCACCCTCCTCCCAGAGGGAGCACCTACTAGTAGGTTGATTCGGTCTCTGCTACTTTCTTCACCTACATGAGCACATATTACTTATGTGCGTGTGTAAGTGTAGCTCGTTTGATTTTGCACAAAATCTCTTAACAGTGTTCTGCAACTTTTTTTTTACTTAAAACTGTGACTTGGACATCTGTTTATGCCTGTACTTCTGGACTATTCCCTTAAATGACTGCACCCTATTCTGCTGTGTGAATGTAGCATTCTTTATTTGATCAGCCCCTTATTAATGGCCTCTGGTTGTTTCCAGTGTTTTCTGTTGCGAACAGTGTTGCGGTGAAAACCCTTGTACATGTATCTTTGTGTACTTTTTAGGATAAATTCCTAGAAGTGGAATTGCTGGATCAAAGGGTATGCACATTTTAAATTTTGATAGATAATGCCAAATTGCCCTTCACAAAGGCAATTTCCTTCTGAACCAACAGTGTATGAATGTCCAGTTCCCACAGCCACACCAACACTGGACACTTGACCTTTGCCTGTACAGTAGGCAAATAGTGTCTGATGACTTTGATGTGAATTTTTCTTTATTCATGGTGAGGTTAAGAGTCTTTTCATATTGGCATTTGTGTCTCTCCATGACCTGCCTGCTGTGTCCTTTGCCGTCCGTTCCTCTCTCTAGTTGGGTCATCGTCTCACTGACTTGTAGGTGACCTTCTGTTGCATATTAACCTGCCTCCTCTGTGCCTTCATTAAACTTTTACTTTGTTCAAGGTTCTTCCCCAGGTGGAAACTTAGTTTCTGTATAATCAAATCAATGTGTTCTGGCTCTGAGCTCCGTGTTTTGTTAGGTATATTCTAATCCAGAATAGGGTGGGCCGATCTCCTTGTTTGAGCTCTCCCTACCTTTTCACTTTCTTGCCTGGCTCTTTAATCTGTAGTTATTTTCTTCTGTTTGGTGGGAGGTAAGACGCTAACTTTTCCAAAGAACTAAGCAGTCTGTAGGGTCTGTCCTGTCTCTACTAATCTGAACTGCTGTCTTTATTTGTGCACTCAATTCCTGTAGACACTGGCTCAGTCCGTTCCTAGACTTTATGTCCTCTTAAACTATTTTATATATCCTAAAGCCATATGAAAAGGGAATTAATCTCTTAAAACTTTAGGAAATTTGTTTTCTGCCCCAGACACACCACCCCAAGGACTTAGAGCCAGTGTGACACCTGGTGGGTATTCTGTGGCCTTCAATGTCCAAGCTTCCCATAAACACTGCTTCCTTGGAGTGTAGACCTGGCCTCGATGCATTACTGACCCTGTGGCATGGCTTACGCCCTGAGAAAGCTGACCAGATGACTTCAGCCATCATTTGAGAATGGGGATGTTCTTCATGGCAGACCTCTCTTGTCAGAGGGGGGCAATAGGAGAGAGCCTGAGCCTCTCTCGGGACTTTAGTCATCAGCCGAACTATTCTGATTCATACAGCGCTAAAATTTTAGGTTTGTTTTCCTGTAATGCCTTGTATAAAAATTTCAGAAAAGCCATGCCACAAAGTATTTTTGGCACTAATATTACATATAATTTGTCTTCATCTATTTTTATTGTAAACTAAACACCATACTTGCTGATAAATTTTTCTCCTAAGGCACACTTCAGTTGATAACTTAATGTAAATTACATTAAAAGTCCTTTGATTGTAAAAGTAGTTATTTGTAAATCATGTTTTCCTATTGACAGCATTTTAGTTTTATCAGCTAGTAGAAACTATTATACCTCTTAAACTTTTAATATTTCAGAAAAATATGCCCAAATTCAACAAAATTCCTTTCTACCTCCAACCTCATGCATCTTCAGGAGCAAAAACTTTAAAAAAGTAAGTAACCATTGCTCTTCTTGATTGCAGTCACTGCACCTATGGTCACGTGGTGAAAGGGAGACGGCTGCTGGGTGGGAAGCTGGTTATTGTGGAGCTTGTCCCCTGTCAGAATTTAGCTTAGCCCATAATTGCTGACTCATGCCTTTGTAGTCTCAGCACTCGGAGGCAGAAACAGGAAAGAGGCCAGCCTGGGAAATACAGTGAGTTCCAGGCCAGCTGAGACGCCATAGCAAGACCAAGTAAGCCGTTTGTGGTGGCTCACACCTGTAATCCCTATTCTTAGCGGTGGACAGAGGAGGATCAGTTCCAGGGCATGTGAGACTCTGTTTAGGACAAAACCTGTGTATAGTAGCTGCCTCTACAGACCCTTTAGGGAGTAAAGAGAAAGGGGTAACCAGCTTGTGAGCACAGCTTTCTGAGGTTTCAGGAAGGAGGAATCACCTGAACACGGGCGGATGGCTGTACTGCCCAAAGACACACTTCCCCGGCGGGAACAGGCTGAGGATACCAGAAGTGGTTGTGGGGATGCGTGTTCCCTCACATAGGCTGGAGTGGGGAGACATGACGAGTTAGAGGCTTGGTGACTGAATTTGAATGCCAGGTCACCATGACATACTAGCAGAAATTCCTGATAGGTAAGGTAGACAAGGCTCCAAGAGAGGCTTACGGCAGAGAAGCTGAGGCCAGCAAGGGAATGTGAGCCATAATCAGTATGTGTGTGACACCAGCAGGGCAGCTAAACTGTCCCCAGGGTTCCTGAGCTGGCCCACTGGCCAATGAGACACTTCAGGGTTGACCACCACGAGGGTCTGCTCGCCTCGACACTCCTGCACACGCACACACTGGATCAGTTCATAGCGAGCGTAGACACACTTGTAGCAGATTCATGACAGAACCCCAGGATCCTTGAAGAGTTTACACTGTAGCTATGAGGTTTGGTGGTGGTTGAATGATAGCAGAGATGAGGGCCTGGACGAAAGGGACTTCAGCTGTGTGATCCAGGACAAGCCAGCTGCTGGATTTGTGGTGTGGAGCCGCCTGGGGCTTAATGTCTAGCCTGGGGCGTTCATTGTCTGCTTCTAGTTGAAGACACAGCAGTGGGAAGTAACACTGAGCCCTGGTGGTTAATTGGTGGATCTGCCCAGGTCTGTCCTCGGTTCAGGCGCACACATGAAGGACTAAAATGCAGGTAGCTATTGTGTGTAGTACATAAGCCCTAGACGGGCACCATTGGAACTCTCTGACAACTCCCAAATGGATCCAGGGACTGAAAACATGCATTGGTTTCAGATGTCTGTACAAGAGGCTCTCTGTGAGTTCGAGGCCACTCTGGTCTCCAGAGTGACTGCCAGGATAGGCTTCATAGCTACATAGAGAAACCCTGTCTCAGAAAGAAAGAAAAAAAAAAAAAAAAACAGATGTCTGTACAACGTTTTTCTTTAGATGTTGACACAATGAAAATAATAGACTTTGTGGTATCAAAACATGCATTGTCTTTTCTAGAGACAGACTCTCTGCCAGTGACATGCTGCAGGTCCGGAAGGTGACGGAGCATGTCTACGAGAAGATTATCAACCTGGATAATGAGTCTCAGACCACCAGCTCTTCTAATAATGAGAAGCCAGAGCAGGAGAAGGAGGAGGATATTGCTGTGTTGGCAGAGGAGAAAATTGAACTTCTGTGCCAGGACCAGGTGAGTGGACCTGAGGAGTGTAGCTTCATCTCCCTGCAGAGGTACCCAGAAAGTCACACAACGTGTAACCGTGACGTGTGCTTAGATCCTCAAGCAGTTGGCCTCCTTGGGCATCAGCTTTCAGAGGCTCTCAAGAGCCCAGTCTTTTGCCAAGATTCTTCAGCGTACCCGAAGCTTTTCTTCATCTGAGGGAGGTGCTTGGGAAGAGGACACAGATTTACAGATGTCCACAGTAGGGCTGCACCTGGTTAACAGGGGCAAGGTCGTCTTGATTTGCAGGGTAGTATCTATCATGTTAAAGAATTTGGAGTGGAGGTGGGTGGTGAAGAGATGGATCACAGCTAAGAGGCAGTGTGTGTGCTCAGGTGGGGCTGAGCTGCTTCTGCTGGTGGATTTTTCAGATCCCATGTGTAAGCTGGGCCACCTGGCAGGTCCCTGGTTAAGGGTGGCTTTAGCTGTTAGTGACCTTGACGTTTTCAATGCACTTTGGCTGTTCAGGTTTTGGACCCAAATATGGACCTACGAACAGTAAAGCACTTCATCTGGAAGAGCGGCGGGGACCTCACACTCCATTACCGCCAGAAGTGCACGTGAAGGGGGGCCAAGTCCTGGGTTATTCATCAACCTTCCTCTGGGGCCCTGAGTAGTCCTAGGAAGCCCACCAAGCCCTACCGGGAGCAGGAGCTCCACCGGCCGATTTGGTGGAGTCACTAATCGAGATGTAATATAGAACCAGGCTCCATGCATAGATTAAGGTGTCCCCAGGGACTCAGTGTGAGGACAGGAGCCCCAAGCAGTCCTTCGAGGTGTGCAGAGACCTACAACAGCCGTGCGGACTTCACTGACCCCTTTTGAAGGCCCTCTGTCTCTTAGCACTTGTTAGAGAACATCAGCGGGGCCACATCTGTCACCGCGTTTCAAACCCATGAGTTCTGCGGCTTCTCTAAGTACATTCCACTCATGCAGTACCTATGAAGGCTTTTTCCAAATTTGTCATTACAAAAAAAAAAAAAAAAAAAATGTTTTCATCATCATGTAAGAGTTTTGTTTTAATGGGAATCATCACTGTTGCACAATTCAAGAACCAGCCCACTTTGTAAGAAATGACCATGTTGGGCTACTTTTGAAATACGGGATCTCAGCTGTGGTCTGTAGGAGGACCTCCTGCCACTGCACCTGTGTTGTGCAGTACTGTCCCATAGCAGCCCCAACAGCGGTGGCCACTGTCCTTCCTCCAGCAACCAGTCTTCCTCAGAGGCAGTGTCAGTGGGAACCACAGCCTCGCAACCTGGGTGAGCAGCACGATACTGTCCACTTAAGACCATGCTGAAGTCTCAGTTTCATTCAAATGCTACCTAAAGTTTGTGTTATTAGAGTAAAAAGATCTCACAGTCAGTTGGTTTGATATTTATATTGTGGTCCATGTTTGGTTTTCCAGTTTTATGCGTGGGCTTTTCCTGTACCTGCGTCCAGATCTTTTCCTGTCTTTCTAACAATCATAAGCTTTCATAGACTCACTTGGACTTGGAATTATTAACTTATTGGGGATAAACACTTCACCTTTGACAGAAAATACTTTGGATTCTTCTCAAGGTCCTTCTCATTCAGATAGCTCAGTGGTCCCCCTGACCCTCCAGAAGACAAACCTTGAACAAAGCCAGAAGAAGCACAAGTGCCTTCAGGGGCAGTTTATTCCAGGCCCGTCGCCTCCCTCCCCTGTGTGCTCTGTCCCCACGGGAGCAGGGACTGGAGAGGGCTTGTTCTCTTTTCCACATCTTCACAGGTTCCACTGGGGGCCGCTGGTGGGTCCAGGTCGGTCCCTCACAAAATGAGGCACCGATCCGAACAACTGCAGAACAGGGTCCCTCACTGCTAACTGTGGAGCTCAGACATGCCACGGCTTCCACACCCTCAAGTGAGCAAAGACATTTCCCAGGTGTTAAAATGTTCTTTCCTCAGAGCAACTGGCGTTTTTTCCTCTTACAGAAGTCCTTTTTATCTCTCTGTGATACAACAGTGCACTTTTGGTGCATCTTTTTCAGTGATAGTTATGAGCTAAAAGCAAGGGGGTGGGGGCGCCCCGCCCTCTGTTTGCAGGAGGGGCCAATGCACTAAATGGGTTTTACCAGTTCACGGCCCAGTGCTGAGCCATAGGCAGTTGGGCCCCTGTGGTGGATTTTACCCCCAGCATGGTTGTTCCTTTTTTTCCCCCTCTAGTCAAAATCAGTAAGAAGTTTCCAGAAAATTGGACAGTCTGCAATGCCAAAAAGGTCAGAGTCTGTATTTCAAGTTGTATAGAATAAAGCTTTAGTTAAAATACTTCAATGTCTTACACATTTATTTTTTTTACTTGTCATTTTCCTTCACATCAGATTAACAGGGAAAGAAACATCTAGGGTTCATATTTGAAACATCAACAGCATCCATCTTTACCCCACTTACCAGGTCTCGGGGAACAGAACCTTCCAATTAGGGCAGCCAGGGGTCAGAATGCCTAGCTACAGAGCTAAGGTGAGCCGGCCCAGAAGCAGCCCTGTGGCTACTCAATTGTAAGCCCATACTCCTGGCACTCACCAGAGGCACCGGGGCTGACTCACAGGGCCTGACTAAATGTATTCCTAGTGCTTGGGGCTTAGTGTTTGCCCATCTGGAACCTGGCCGGCTATATTGTTTGGCCTATGCTTCCTAGAACAAGTCCTTGACTTGACAGCCTTAAGTGCACTGTACACTCTGTTACATGCGGTCTGTGGACATCTATAGAAACTAGAAAACAAGACCAAAGGCAGCTTACAGTGATTAGAGGAGATTGGAGCTGCAGGGGACATGCCTGGTGCCTTCTGCAGAAAGCCAGCAGAGTAGACAACCTCTCCTAGCCTTAGCCTCTAAGCTGCAGGGACCTAGAGTTCTACAGACAGTGTCTCTCCTGGGGTGAGGCTAGAGCCAAGAAGTACAGGCAGAAGGGGTTTTGATGGTGAGCCTAAGTTTATACCATCAGACCTTGCTGGAAACCTTGTGCACTCAAAGCCTGTTGTCTGTATGTGGAGCCTGATTGGGGGAGGGGGGCAGGGAATGACTAGCCCAGGTGGATCCCTATGAAGGGCCTAGAATTTTCCAACTTGAGAACAAAGTGGCAAGTATACTCTCTCCTCCAGCACAAGGTTTGGAATGGGGAAGGACACTGGGACTTGGGGTCCTCAGTACAGGTGGGGCTACTGGTAGACATAGCCTCTCTTGTCCCTCACCCCATCTTCACACTCAATCGTTATCCGGCCCTGTGGCCCCTCCCTACCCACTAGGCTTCAGTGCCTCATTGAGGCAGCCTAGATTCCATCCTGTGTCTCGAAGCAGAAGCTGCCATGTTGTTGCTCCCAGCTTCCCTGTCCCTTCAGTCCAGGACCATGTACTGGGATGAAGGCTGGACCCTGGGGGGAAGACTAGCAAAGCCCATGCCTCACTAGGAGCTGCAGCCTACGAGCTACACAGACACAAGCTGAGTAACACCAAGGTCCCAGGAGCCTTCTCACAGCCCAGGCTGTGGTTCTGGGGTGACCTGAGTTGGGCTGGCTGGCCCCTCAGTCTCTGTGTCTGCTGGCTCCTCGAGCTGGGCTTCCAGCAACTCTGCAGACAGCCCGTCTTCTGGTGAGGATGCAGAGATGAGACCATCTGGGAGAGTCAGCTGGGGCAGGTGGCCCACCTGGGCCTGGGCACCTGGACTGTCCGGGAAAGAGATCTCAAACTCTGACCCTGACCACGTGGCTTCGCCTGAAAGGTAAAATAAAGCTGAGGAGATCCAACCTCAGCTGCCAAGCTCTGGTAGAGGGCTGGATCTCAGGGCAGCCCTCCCTAAACCTGGGGTTTCTCAGGGGGAGTTACTTGAAGGTCACTCACCACCCCGCTCATGAGAACTGCTACTGGAACCAATGTCCTCTGGTCCCAAGGCTGAGAGAGCTGTGGAGGTCAGCACTGTGGAGGGTGACAGGCTGGGGCACACACTTGTATTGCTGCTGTCCAGGAGAGACATACCTGACACATCCAGGAAGCCTGGGGGAGGGAGAAAAGCCCCGTTCTTTGCTCAAATAAAACCCCAACTACTGGGAAGCCTGGAGCCTGTCTCCCCTGCCATGTTCCCTAGGGCACCTAACTTGCCCTTGACCCCAGAAATGCCTCCACCTAACCCCATGGAAGCTGCTGCTGCCAGTCCCTGAGGGACAAAAAGAGCCTGGAGGTGGCACCATGGCAATGGCTCCAGACCTTGCGCTGCCTCTTGTCTGTGAAGCCACCTGAAGTGTGACCTGCATGTGCTCTTGACTAGATGACAGAGGCTAGCCGCCGACCTGAGGACAGCTAGGGGCACTGCTACATAAGACTAACCCTGAACCTGCAGCCCCGCTACAGCACCAGGGCCTTAGGTGCCTCAGTCTCCTCTGGTGCCTGTCCCATACCTGGGTCCATGACCCGCTGCACTGGGGGTGGAGGCTGTAGAGGGATCTCCATGGAGCGCGCACATCCCCCACAATCAGCAGCGTCATGGCTAGGGCTCCCAGACCCAAGGAGCTGTGCTTCCACGAAGCCAACAGGGACCTGTGGCAGGGCCTAGAGATGCCAGGAAAGAAGAAACTGGGGGTCAGGACAGTGCCAATAAAGATCCAGTACAGAAACAGCTGTTCATTCCAACCTAAATGCAGCCCCAGCCCTCCCGGCACTGTGAACATCACCCTTGCTTTCTATGGCCAGACACTCCCTACAGCAGCCACACTGAGGGAGCTTCCTGACACGCCCAGGGATTTCCAGGTATCCACAAACACTAGCCCTGTTCCCTGAGCCTCCCTTGAATCCGGGTGCACGTGGGGACTGTGCAGCCTAACATGTCCAACACTGGCCCGGCTTCCCTGACCTCACTGCAGCACACGGTTCTGCCCATTTCTAGGTCTGTTTCCCACTCACAAAAGGACCGCCAGGCCTCACCTCCACTCCCACGGGCAGTGGAGCCAAAAGCATGTTTTACTATACCCCAGCAGAGGCTCTCTGCTTCTACTGCATACCAGTGCGGACAGGCCTCCTATGAGCAGGTACAAGAACCTCACAGGCCCATGGGGAGGGTTTCTTGGTCCCCAGACAGCTGACAGCTGGCAGAGCCACTGCCCCCAGATACTCTTCTCTTCCCTGGCCTGACAGGTGCTCCCCACATACCTCCATGTAGTCACTGTGCCTGGAACCCAACTCTGGGCCAGAAGAGTCTTGAAGGACAGGCCAAGGGGGTGGGGCACCAAGAGGCAAGGCATTAAGTTGTGGAGTATTAGCTGGTGGAGTGCCAGACGGTGAGGCCCCAGCTGGCTTCTTGTAGTGGCTGGAGGGCTGCGTTGGGATCCGGTGTAGATACCCATAACCAATACCACACCCCAGACTGTGGAAGGCCAGAAACACTCGGTCAGGGTTGTCAAGTGACACAGCCCTCCCTACCCAAACCACCCCCACCCATAACCATGACTGAGCAAAGGCATATTCCTGGGCAGGGTGAACCTCAGGACTCTGGGGTGCAACTGTCTCCTCCAAGGGGTAGCCCAAGCCCACTGGGCCAGCCCACCCATCTAGTCCTGCGGCCCTGTGAACCCAGACAGTACCTGCCCTCTCCACCCCAGGCTGCATTGGGAGTCACAGTCACCTCCCGGCAGGAGTCGGACTCAGAATTATACACCATCAGCTTCAAGGGCTTCCCCTCATGGGACTGAAGGAGTGTATAGAAGTCTTCAGACTAGGAGAGACACAGGGTCTGAGGGAAGCCTCAAACGAGACATCTATGCACAACATGTCTGACCACAGCCCTTGGGGGGGGGGGGGCCTGGAAACAGACACACCATGGGTTCCTTACCTCTTGGAGAATCTGGTCAGAGCCAACTACGTAGTCTGTGTAGGGGCACAGGCCAGCCAAGGCAGCAGGTGAAGAGGGCTCCACGTCCTGAAGAACAAACAAAAACCTCTCTTAAGACTCACTGCTGAGCAGAGAGGCAAGGGATTGTCGCTCTAGGGAGAAGGACATTTGTCCTCTGCTGCCAAGCACAGCCTCAAGCAATACTTCCTTCTTCATAAGGCCCAAATTTTCTCCCTCCCCGCAGGTTTACAGCAGCCTAACCAGCAGAGGGCAGCACCTGCATGCAGTCCAGAGTCTGACTCCTGGTTACAGCACACACAGCCTGAACCCCTAGGGCTTCACCACTCCCAGCACTTTGGAGACAGAGAAAGTGGCTCTCTCTTGAGTTCTGAGCTAGCCTGATCTACCTAAAGAGTTCCAGGCCAGCCACAGCTATGTAGTAAGGCCCTGTTTCAAAAAACTTAAAAGAAAACCAGGGGCTGGGGAGATGGTTTGTGGGGTATGTGTAAGCATGAGGTCAGGAATTCGGATCCCCAGCAGCCATGAGAAAGCCAGGACAGCACGTCAGCAAGAGGTTAAGTTAGGCACCCTGTCTCAGTAAGATATGGAGTAGGAGAAAAGACACGGTGTTAACACCTGGCTGGCACACTGCACACACACAGCAGGGAAAGGCGTTTGACAAATTCTGACAATCTGAGCTCAGTTGACTTGTTGCCTGGATCGCAGGGGGGAGCTGGAAACACGAGGAGGAAAACTACAAAAGCTATTTCCTTCCTCCCTTGGGGAGTTCTACTGCAGCAATGTGTCCAACATGGCCTGTGGCCATGTGGCCATGGACAGCTGGAGGGAGGCTCAATCAATAAATAAAGCGCTTGCCTTCACCTGAGTTCAAACCCCACAATCCAGGTGGTGTGCACCTGTAACTCGCTAGGGAGGCAGAGCGCCGATCCCAGGCATTCCCGGGACAAAGTGTGGTCTAGTGGCTAAGCTCAAGCCGATGAGAGACACTGCTTCAGAGGAGGTGAAAGTGAGAGTCCCAAAGTTGATACCCAAGGTTGTCTTTTTGTCTCCACACACACACACACACACACACACACACACACACAAACTCACACACACACACACACACACACACACACACACACACACACAAATACTGTTTTATTTTTTTAGGATTGGCTATCGAGTCACAGGTCAAGAGCTGGGCACCCCTGGAACATGTGACCCAAGACAAGTAGCCATCCCAAGCCAGAAGCTGGACAGCCCTGTTGGAGCCCCGCTGATCCTGAGAGGTGCTCAGGAGTCCGCACATTGGTCCTGCACTGGCATGCCTCTGCAGGCAGACTGCAGACACCCCCGAGAAATCCGGGAGAGACCCAGGCAGCTAGAACCCCAACCAGCAAACTTTCCAGCCGGGTCATGCTCCCTCTGCCAACCCAGAAGACTCAGCATTGGAGAACTTGACGCCACCAATGCCCATAGGTGCCAGGTGAGCATGCCTGGTGCCAGGTACCATCTGGGGCAGCTGGTACGGAGACTCACTTATGCAGCTGCTACACAGTAACAGGCCACCTGGAGCAATACCAGACACTGCCTGCTTCTGGCGGTGGGTTCGTGCTGGCCCACTCTTCAAAAGAAACCAAGGCATGGAGCTGTACAGACAGCTCAGAGGCTAAGGGCACTGGCTGCTCAGGCAGGGGACCCAAGTTTGACTCCCGGCACCCACCACAACTATCTGTAACTCCAGTCCCAGGGGACCCAAGGTCCTCTCCTGACCTCCAGGGGGCACTGTACTCATGAGGTGCACAGAGAGTATGTGCAGGCAAAAAACACACCCATATACACAAAACAAAATTTAAAAGAAAGAAACTAAGGTGTGGAGATTATGAATGCCCCAAGTTGCAGGTGTGGTGCTGCATACTTAATCCCAGCACTTGGGAGCTACACAGATCTTGGGCCGGTGGATCTCTGCAGGTTTGTGGCCAGCCTGGTGTACACATTCAGGGGCAATGAGGGGCCACATAGTGAGACCCTGCTCTAAAACAACAAAATGAAACTAATGCCCAAGGCCACGCAGCTGACAGAGCAATGATCAGCCGTCCTCTGAAGACACGGGGGCAAAGCCAGATCCCACGGCGCTGCCCTCTGCTCCCTGCCCCACCCACCGGCCCTGGCCATCCCACTCCTGCCGTCCTGTGCCCTGCCCTGCCCTGCCCTGCCGGTACTCACCAAAACATGCCACACGTGCTCGCTGGCCCTGCGGAAGCTGCAGAAGCGCACGCTGGCCCCCAGCAGGCCCTGGCCATCCCACTCCTGCCGTCCTGTGCCCTGCCCTGCCCTGCCCTGCCGGTACTCACCAAAACATGCCACACGTGCTCGCTGGCCCTGCGGAAGCTGCAGAAGCGCACGCTGGCCCCCAGCAGGCCCTGGCCGCCCCACATGTTGCTGGGCACCACTTCCACCTCTCGCACCTTCATGGTCTTCATGTTGAAAACCTCCAGCCTCACTGGCTTCTCCACATTGGCCTTCAGCAGAGCCTTCAGGGTGTCGTTCTCCTTGTTCTGCATGGGCCAGGGGGGCTGGCTCAGTCTGAGGCTTCCCACCCCTGGGCCAGAACCCTTGCACGGGTCAGGGCGTGAGAGGCATCGAGGGTCTGGTCTGAGGACAAGCTAGAACAAGCACTGGGCCCAGCTTCATGGGCTAGGTTTGGGCCTGCAGCCACTGAAGCCACAACTGCCACTACCCAGCTCCAGGCACCCCAAGTCCTACCAAGCCTGGGGCCCTAAGCCTGCCAGAAAACATAGCAAAGCAAGTGAGAGGGCCTGTGAGGCCCATGTCCAAAGGCCTCGTATGCCTTGAAAACGCAGCCTTCTTAGGCCTGGTAACCACCTCCAAAAGTCCCTCTGGCCCTGATCCACCCAGGAAGAAAAGGGGGGCAGAAGCAGGCTGGGTACCCTGTGGGGACTCTCACCAGCCTTGAGTGCCCGATCGTGATGATGAAGTCGAAGTAGGGTTCCAGGCCGGCCTGCTGGGCCGGCGAGTTCTCCTGCACCTGTCACAGGTCAGAGGCAAGTCACACAGGGTCGAGAAGCCCTTCGCCCACGGAGAGGGTCACGCCTGCACAAACTGCTCTGGCCACACTGAGGTTCACCACATCCTACATGCTCCACCTTCTCAGGCAGTTTCCTCTGGGGAAAATAACTTTTCCCGATTGTGACACACAGATGTTTCCAGAGAGGGCTCACACAGTCCTGGGAGTAAGGGACGCCCGGGGAGTACTGGCCCCCTCATCCCGAAACTGGGCTTCAGCTGGCCAGGAGGTCAGGGGGATTGGCCAGGAAAGCCCAGGCATGCAGGAGAAATGCAGCCAGGCCTTGCTGCATGGCTATATCCCAAAGAGCCCAGGCCCCGAGTGGCTGGCCTAGCCCCAGTCCAGCAGGGTGGTGATGCAGATCCCAGGCCTCTCCACAAATTTAGCTCCACCCAGACACGCAGTCCTGATCTAGGTACTCCCCATCCCTTTGGGTGCTCCCTGGCCCTCTCAGCTACCAGTTTACTGCTGTCTCCAGAGTACAGTCAGCTCATCACCAGCTGCACACATCTCAAGCCCCATCACAAGCCATCACAAGCTGTACCCGGGACACATCTCAAGCCATCACAAGCCATCACAAGCTGTACCCGGACACATCTCAAGCTCGTCACAAGCTATCACAAGCTGTACCCGGACACATCTCAAGCCCCATCTGCAGTGCCCTTGCTCAAACAATGCAGCCTTTGTCCCCAGGCCATAAACCCTAAAGACGCACCTAGGCAATTGACTCAAGCCTTTTACTAAGAACACTTGATTACTTCTTGGGCCAGGCATCAGCCAGGCCCCAAGGTGACAGTCCAGGTGACAGGGCACAGGGCCCATGTGACCCCAGATCCTTGGTAGCTCCATTGGATTCCCCAAGATGAAGGACTTTTCAGGAGCCCGATGAGAACAAAGTGCTTCAAGATGCCTCCCGTTGAGGGCCAGTGTGGCCCTGGCTCCACAGCTCCGTCCTGACAGCAGTGCCAGCTGTGTCCCTGAGTGCTCCTCCTGGAGCTGCCATGGCCATCAATGGGGACAGGCCCATGCTTGTTGCTGGACCATCCCCAAAGGCAAGCTGTTCCTGGCCTGTTTGGGGACTTCAAGTCCTGCTCCATCCCTCTGGGGACCCTACTTCAGGGACTCTGAGGCCTGCCCTCTGTCCCTCTTAGACCAGTGGTTCTCAACCTTCCTAAGGCAGCAACCCTTTAACACAGCTCCTCATGCTGTGGTGACCCCAATCATAAAATTATTTTCATTGCTACTTCATAACTGTAGTTTTGAATCAAATTGTAAATATCTGTTTTCTGATGGTCTTAGGTGACCTCTATGACAGGGTCACCAGCCTCCGTAAGGGACACGACCCACAGGCTGTGAACCACTGCCCTAGAGACTTCTGAAGACCACAAGACTAGAATATCTGAGAGGGTGAAGGTCCTCCCAAAGCAGGGCCACTTCCAAACTACTCATTCGAACTCCCCTGGGGAAGGTCACTTTGCTCCTAAGAGGAAGTGTCACCCTCCTTCGAATGGTGTCAGCAACCCACCATGGTTAATGAGGTCTGGAAGCCCTGGTCCCGCCCACCTGCCTGTGGATCTGCCCTCTACACTGCCCACTAGAGCTCTAGCAACTGAAATGATCTAGACTATTGCCCATCGAACCCTGCTCCTGCAAAACCGGCTGCCCTTCCACCCTGCTCTCCCTGACACCTCCCAACACACCCCCACCCACAGCCGCACCCCCACGCCTGCAGCCTACAGCATGATCAGCCTTTCCTAAGCCCACACCTTACTTCCCAACCAAGGACCCTATGAATGAACAGGAACAGACTCTAGACAGGGGTTGGGTGCCAGGTATCAGACGCTAACGCCTCCCAGACCTTAAGCAGTCTGCAGGCCATTTCGCTGTCCTGATTTATGGATGAGAGAAGGAGCTCTGTAACAGACATCTGAGCCTAGAAAATGCAACCTGGCTACAACAGCATGATCTGAGTGTGTGAACCCTGCGTTGCTGCACACTCCCGAATGCTGAGGGCAAAGTCCTGGGAAGACTGGGAATGACAAAATTCAGACAAGTTAGCTCCCTTGTTCTTCAGCTCTTAAAAATATAAGTAAATGGCAACTGGGTGGTGGTGGCACACGCCTTTAATCCCACCACTTAGGAGGCAGAGATAGGTGGATCTCCGTGAGTTCAAGGCCAGCCTGGTCTACAGAGCGAGTTCCAGGACAGCCAAGGCTGCAAAGAAACCCTGTCTCAAAATAAACAAAAACAAAGTGTGTGTGTGTGTGTAGATAACTTTATCCATCCACTTAAAATCTTCTGATAGGAGCTGGAGAGATGGCTCAGTGGTCAAGAGCACTTGTTGCTCTTGTAGACGACCTGGGTTCAGTTCCCAGCACCCACAGGGTGGTTCACAACCACCCATGACTCCAATCCCAAGACACCTAACACCCCCACCTGGCCTCTGCCGGTACCAGGCACATATATACCTGGAGGCAAAACATCCTTACACATAAAAATGAAAATAAAATCCAAAACAACAAAAATCCTCCAGAGAGTTCCGTACCTCCAAATAAAATACCAAGTCTCAGGACCTGGGGACGTAGCTCAGAGACATCCCCAGGACTGCCAAACAAAAGTGCTCTAAGTCTTCAAGACAACATGGAAGGCCCTGCCCGCCCATCAGCATCCTCCACACTCCAGGCAGGGGCCACACCACCCTGCACACCAGCCACTGGCTTCACCTACAGAATCCCCTTATGCAAATGTGTTTTAAAACACCCCTGGCTGGATGCATTCCAATGTCTGCAGATCCCCAGGCTCAAATCTTGTCACTTCGGGTCTGCGATGACAACGTGGCTTTCCTGGCTAAGAACCACTTCTTAGCCCTGATGCCAGCCTTCCTTTGACATAGACCAAAGTAGCACAGTGGCTCAGGAGGCCGGGGCTGGGGGATCTCAGTAAGCCCCATCCAAGCCAGCCTGATCTACATACCACATGGTGAGACCATGTCAAAAAACAGAATTTAAAAGAGGCGGAGAGCCGGGCGTTGGTGGTGCACGCCTTTAATCCCAGCACTCGGGAGGCAGAGGCAGGCAGATCTCCGTGAGTTTGAAACCAGCCTGGTATACAGAGAGAGTTCCGGGACAGCCTCCAAAGCCACAGAGAAATCCTGTCTCGAAAAACCAAAAAAGAGGCCGAGGGAGGAGGGCTACTGAGTTTCAGACCAACTTGAACTACACACCAAGACCCCGTCTGAAGGCAGGAAGGCTGACCAACAGCCAGGCAGCAACCTGATAAGCCTGCCTGCCTGCCGCCTCCACACAGCTCCACACCTACCCACTTCTCAAGGGGGCAGAGGGGAGAGCAGGGTTCAAAGCCCTTCCTATCCCAACCCCAAGTCAACCACTTTGTCTCCACTTCCCAGAAGCCTGTTCGCTCGTCCCTCCCTGCAAGAGACACGGAAGGCCTCACCCAAGTCTCGGGGTGTTTCACTGTGGGGTCCCAGTGCCCACCCTGGCTCGTCATTCTGGTCATCTCACCCCCCTGCAGGCTCCCCGAAGCCCTCGAGCTCCTCCAGCATCTTGCACTGCGCCTCGCAGACGGGGTCTCGGGTGCTGGGCGCGCTGAGCTTCCTCAAGCTGGCAGAGAGCT